ATAGGACGTTACATGTCGCACCTCAGAGTTGGTAGATTACGTCACATGTAGCACCTCAGAGTTGGTATAGGCCATTACATGTATAGCACCTCAGAGTTGGTATAGGACGTGACATGTAGCACCTCAGAGTTGGTATAGAACGTTACATGTATAGCACCTCATAGTTGGAATAGGACGTTACATGTAGCACCTCAGAATTGGTATAGGACGTTTCATGTAGCACCTCAGAGTTGGAATAGGACGTTACATGTAGCACCTCAGAGTTGTTATAGGCCATTACATGTATAGCACCTCAGAGTTGGTATAGGATGCTACATGTAGCACCTCAGAGTTGGTATCGGACGTTACATGTAGCACCTCAGAGTTGGAATAGGACGTTACATGTAGCACCTCAGAATTGGTATAGGACGTTACATGTAGCACCCCAGAGTTGGTATAGGAAGTTACATGTAGCACCTCAGAGTTGGTATACGACGTTACATGTAGCACCTCAGAGTTGGTATAGAACGTTACATGTATAGCACCTCAGAGTTGGTATAGGAGGTTACATGTATAGCACCTCAGAGTTGGTATAGGACGTGACATGTAGCACCTCAGAGTTGGTATAGGATGTTACGTATAGCACCTCAGAGTTGGTATAGGAGGTTACATGTATAGCACCTCAGAGTTGGTATAGGATGTTACGTATAGCACCTCAGAGTTGGTATAGGAGGTTACATGTATAGCACCTCAGAGTTGGTATAGGATGCTACATGTAGCACCTCAGAGTTGGTATCGGACGTTACATGTAGCACCTCAGAGTTTGTATAGGACGTTACATGTATAGCACCTCAGAGTTGGTATAGGACGTAACATGTATAGCACCTCAGAGTTGGTATAGGACGTTACATGTATAGCACCTCAGAGTTGGAATAGGATGCTACATGTAGCACCTCAGAGTTGGTATAGGACGTTACATGTAGCACCTCAGAGTTGGTATAGGATGTTACATGTAGCACCTCAGAGTTGGTATAGGACGTTACATGTATAGCACCTCAGAGTTGGTATAGGATGTTACATGTAGCACCTCAGAGTTGGTATAGGACGTTACATGTATACTTAGCACCTCAAAGTGTTCTAGACAGATCCGCTGGTACAACATTTCAAACGTGATCTAGCTAAGACAGGTTACACGGTCAAAGCCATTTTGTAAAATAGAATAGGATAATTTTTGGACACTAAGTTACGATGTCTACCCCAAATTTTGATATCTAATGGAATGTGAGACACACCTAAATGTTTTATTTGAAATGTACATTCACAGGTAAACTGTATAGGTAAACATACACTTCTGTCCTTACTGTCAAAGACAAACATGTTTTATAGATTATTAGCTATTCTGTTCAAGATGTTTGCTCTCGACAAACAAGGATTGTTTAATATTCTGTTTAGAGGATTGATAAATCTTGCGGTCAAATTGAATTTGTTCAGAGAGTTTATTAAGCATTAAAAGTTTCAGGGCAATATTCAATGGGTTTAACCATGAGTTATGACATCACTGATATAATTTATCGAAGATCAAGGTAACGTTTTAAGTTGTCCAGTATATATATATGCAGAAGTTATGACTGCCAAGAAGTTCTGATCTAAAAACTTACGTTTTACTTGGATACAAGAAGACAAGGTTGAAGTTTTAATATTTATGTCTGTCCTCTGTCATTTTGGGGATGGGGGGTATTTAGTGTTACCCGAATATCTATCATAACTAGTGTGTCAACCTCTGAAACCTCCAATGAGGGAGATCTCCCTCATTCCATATTTCCAATGAGGGAGAAAGTGCTTAAAACATGACTGAAACTATACTTTGCTTAATTTATCTTTCCCTTTTTATGTATCAAAATAACTCCAAAAGGCATTCATTTGGTTCAAACACACCTGTTGTGATCATTACACACACCCTGCAGTAACTAGGAGATCATTTGACCACAGGATGTAGATGAATGAGGGAGTTTCAAGGGATATTGGTAAATTTTGGTCAAAATAAGGGAGTCTCCGTTCTAATAAGAGGGAGTTTACAGCTATGATCTATCCTGCCCTTCCTGTTTTGTCCCATTGCAATTCATTATCCTGACTCTACCAAATTCATTAATCAACCACAGGGTCAAAAGGGCATCCTTGTCTTACAGACATTTTCTAGTTCTTGATAAATATGTTGGCGGCTGTTATGGACTGATTTCAATGTGATTCAGGTTTTATAAAAGATTCCTGCAAAACCAAGAAGGGCATTGGCTAGTGATTTACATGGAGCAATATGTACATACACATGCAATAGCATGCAGTAATGTCAAAAGTTGACAGAACATTCCTGTAAATTCGGGTCCAGATATTCATGAGTTAGATAGGTAAATATATATTACCATGCAAGGACAGACCTCAAGGACAATCGTACTGCGTGCACATGAGTCAGAAATCACAAGTGGAATGCCAAGCTACATGTACATGTAGGTGCAAATTAAACTTGAGATTTTGATGTTGGTAAGGTCATTTTAGACTTACGATGTATGTTATGTTATATTGTACACTCGTAGGATAAGTCTGGGGCTGAATTAAGGAGATTTAGTTTGACGTTTTAACCAATGGCTAAAGTTTTATCCCAAATAATTCTTAGATACACATTACTTTCTGGAGGAGGTTTTTAGAGAGCTTCATTTTATCCTTGTCCAAATATTCATGATTTTGTAAATCCTTATTAAATGTGTACTATGAATATCTGATATGTTTACTATCATATAGTTTTATACAGAGTATTTAAGAGATATCGGTGCTGGGGTGATGTGCTGGATTATTGAAGATTGGAGATTTGGGTTCGACCTCTGCACAGTGACTCACACTGAGTTGTGTAAATTGACGGGTTCATTTAAGTCAGGAATTATCGGTCACCTTGCATTACATAATGTATTTGAAGGTGCATGCCATGCAAGTGCACAAGATTGTGTAAAAATGTTTAAGTCAAAATTTTAAATATATTTGACCATGACCTTGACCTTAGAGGTTTGCACCTAAATATATTGCCTGCAATCAGCTATTTTCAGCCCACTTGTGGTTATAAAGAACAGCAAAGTTTCAATAAATGTCAAAGTCAATCTTACATAGATTTGACCATGTCCTTGACCTTAGAGGTTTGCATCTAAATATATCGCCTTCAATCAGCTGATTTATAGCCAACTCAAGGTATAAGAACAGTGCAGTTACAATAAATGTCAAAGTCAATCTTAAACATATTTGAGTATAACCTTTGCCATGCATTTTTGCACCTAAACCTATCATTTTGGATCAGAAAGCTAATTAACTCATTCACCCCTGAATACACATTTGAACTCTTCCAATTCAAAGGTTGGAATAGTTCATTATGAAATTTCAGGGGTGAATGAGATTGAACAGCCCACTCAAGGTATACATGTATGAGTTTGGTTTGGTTTGTTTAAGTTTTACGTCCTATTAACAGCTGTGGTCATTTAGGGATGTGCCAGGTTTTGGTGTTGGAGGAAAGTTGTAGTTCCCAGAGAAAAAACCACCGACCCACAGTCTTATATGTATAAGAATAGTGCAGTTTCAATAAATCTCACCCACATATTATCAAGGTATGGTGTGAGCTATGATATGTGAATCATGCTGTGTTTGTAACTGTGTCCCTGTCACATTAGTAATGACTTCAATAATAGATCTCGGTCATAAAAAACTGATGGATTTATAGTATTTTTCAACTAAAATCAGTCACCTTGGTATTTCATCTATTTCTCTGAACGATCTATATAGCTAGGAGGATCTAGAGTCTATCTGAGTCACCACAGTCCAAAGTGAATCAATTCAATGATGTATTTGAGGCAGAATTAAGTATTAATCATGAGTTATTTACCCAGTCTATATGAAAATGACAGTCATAGGTTTTTAATATAAGAAATACATTAAGGTTAAATAGGAAATTTAAAATAAATTGCACAGGAAACAAATTAATGTACAAAATTTCTGTGTTTGTTACAGCCTCTAGCTTTGCTATTGTATCATTACTAGATCTCCATTTGTGAGCTATTAACAGTTTTTCTTGTCGTTTCGTCAAAGAAATTTACATTATTCATCCTGCTCTATTACTTTCACAAAGATATTGAGCATTATCCAGATTTCAAATGAAATATTTATCATACAAATAGCAAATGATTTGAATACATTTGTACCTGGTAGATTCTGAAATGTGGGAGATCTGATTTTGATCTTAAAGAAAACTTCATTACTTCATAATTTTTTAGACTGTTGTCAAATTTAGATTTAAAACAAAACTGTAAAAATTAAATCCATATTGTCTGTTGGAAGTGTATTTGTCCTAAACTTCTTGGAAAAACATGTAAGGTTCTTGGATTAAGTTGACTTTAGATAAGTATACTTGTTTATGAAAGCAGGAAGTATGTACAATACAATAAAATATCAACAAAAATTTACATAATTTACTGTTTCCAAGCATCGTATAGTCAGTTTATATAGTAAAAAGCTAGTTTAGATTATCTTAACTGACCTTAGTCCATAAAAGGCATTTATATGTATTTGACATAATTACACTGTCTTGCACTTTTCTGTTATAAGAAAGTTCTGCCTTAGTCAAGAACATCGTACTTCTGTCCGATATAACTTACTTTTTATCTCCTGTTTGGGAATATTTTCTTATATATTTATTCACATTAAATTTCACATCTTAGGTATTAATACAGCTGGTATTTGTGACGTTAGCGTACATCTTAGGTATACCGCCGGTATTTATGACGTTAGCGGACATCTTAGGTAAACCGCCGGTATTTGTGACGTTAGCGGATATCTTAGATATACCGCCGGTATTTGTGACGTAAGCGGACATCTTAGGTATCCCGCCGGTATTTGTGACGTTAGCCGACATCTTAGGTATACCGCCGGTATTTATGACGTTAGCGGACATCTTAGGTAAACCGCCGGTATTTGTGACGTTAGAGGACATCTTAGGTATTAATACAGCTGGAATTTGTGACGTTAGCGGACATCTTAGGAATACCGCAGGAATTTGTGACGTTAGCGGACATCTTAGGTATCCCGCTGGTATTTGTGACGTTAGCGGAAATCTTAGGTATACCGCCGGTATTTATGACGTTAGCGGACATCTTAGGTATCCCGCTGGTATTTGTGACGTTAGCGGACATCTTAGATATACCGCCGGTATTTGTGACGTAAGCGGACATCTTAGGTATCCCGCTGGTATTTGTGACGTTAGCGGACTTCTTAGGTATACCGCCGGTATTTGGGACGTAAGCGGACATCTTAGGTATACCGCTGGTATTTGTGACGTTAGCGGACATATTAGGTATACCGCCGGTATTTGTGCCGTTAGCTGACATCTTAGGTATACCGCTGGTATTTGTGACGTTAGCGGACTTCTTAGGTATACCGCCGGTATTTATGACGTTAGCGGACATCTTAGGAATACCGCCGGAATTTGTGACGTTATCGGACATCTTAGGTATACCGCCGGCATTTGTGACGTTAGCGGACATCTTAGGAATTAATACAGCTGGTATTTGTGACGTTCGCGGACATCTTAGGTATACCGCCGGTATTTGTGACGTTAGCGGACATCTTAGGAACAGACCACCAGTATCATTGATGAATGTTGATCAGCCATGAAACACTGATGATCAATCAGCCATGTTATTGATGGGCGATTCTGCTGTTTGCATAGATTGATTATGGAGACCGTTCGGTGTGCCATTTAATTAACTAGACTTAACCAGTTGGTATCTACTCAAATACAGTGAAGTTCCATCATTACAAAATCTAATCTTCAAGTCCCTCTATGTTTTTCCTTCTGTATACAGACATTGAAAAAATATTTTTTCTGTTACCAGTAAATTTTTATCATTTCCTGTTTATTATAATTTAAAGACAGTTAAAGATTGCATACCTGTTAAGGGAATTTAAACATTTTGGAATTTTTCCAATTAACACAACAGAAAAAAATTAATATCACAAATATCATAGCTGGTTATGCAGTGGATATGCTTCCTGCTTAACTATAATGAAAAGGCCCAGGGTTTAAATCCTGTGGCAGAGGTGTTTTGTTAAAAGGAAATTATAATGTATATATTTCTTTCATATATTACTCTACTGTTTGGTCTGGTAAATGAGCAAGAAACATCTGAGGTAAAATAGATGTTTAACAAATTGGAACTCTTTGTTGTTGGAGATGTACGACACAGAGTGCTGAGACTCTTTTAACTAAAATGGCTGTTTCATTTTATTGTAGTCTTAATTTCATGCAGTAAAACCCACCCAAAACAAATCTCAGGGGAATTAGTTCAATATGAGTATCATTCTTATAGGCCTCGATGGGCAGGATCCCTGTACCACTGCAAATAAGGTCATTGTATCGTAAACTTTTCCCAAACTTAACTGTAGCTTTGAAAAATCATTTCCGATAAGAAAACCATACCTTACAGGACTTTTAAGAAAAAATTCTAAAAATGAAAGAAAACAAAATTTTTTAACACTAGTGTTCTGAGTGTAAAATACTCTCAAACTGTATTTTATGATCATCTTACTGACGTTTTAACCAACTGAGCTACCTCGTCAATGATAGTCCCTTGGCCCAGTCACGCTAGTTCTCTCCGAAACGTAAATCAGGGGAGGTTACTGTATGTACGAAAAACTACTGTGGAATTATCTAGTATTTTACCTGCAATTGGGAAGTGTTCCTTACTATTATGACTTTTCCTTTCCCATGGGACAAAAAATGCTAAGAATTTATGGAATTCAACAAGCATGTTTGTACCAAGGAATGTTTTTGTTTCACGAATACCCTGTCATTATATAAGATTTAGAAGAGGAATCATCGCAGAAAGAAACATTTGGGTAAGGCAGTGCATGCGATAGCAAAGTTATCTCAACAATTTGCCAGATTTGCAGGGGAAAAATTAACAAAACAGGATGTTTGAACCCCCCCCCCCCCCCCCCCACACACACACACACACACACACACACACAAAAAACGGAAAAACAGGATGTTTAAAAATATTGAGTGTAACTGCGGTTTTAGCCATAACATTTTCCCCTGATTTGGATTTGGAATAGTTACACTAGAATGAAGTGGGGGTAGGGATTTAAATTATAGGAGTGGTGTGTTTCCACTGGGTTATGTAAATGTTGTTGTATTTTGAAATTATGTTGTTGTCTAGCCCTGGTTTGTTATGTGCTGGCTATAGGAGGGAAAGGTGTAACACACAATAGTAAAATTTACATTGGAATGGATTTACAGGATCCAGGTGGTAGTTTATAGATAGTAGAGGACGGTGTTGGGGATAGTCCGGTATATATCTGGACATGTAAGGGAGAGGATGGGTGGGAATACAGATTTCCTAGGACTTCTAGCAAGTACTTTGTTTAACTTTGTGCACTTAATAGCTTCATTTTAACTTCAACTTTTTCACCCCTGAAGACACATTTGAACTCTTCCAATTCAAAGGTTGGAATAGTTCATTATGAAATTTCAGGGGTTCATCATTAAGTTGATTGGAACTCTCCTGTAGTGGTGACATGTGGTATTAAACCTGTAAACTTAATTTTAATTTCAGTTGTAATATGTCTGGTAAGGTAATTTGATGAAATATTGATAACAGTTCTCTGTGTAAGTTTTGAAAAATATTTGTTTATATAATGTTTTAAACAGAATATCTTCTTTCAAATTTGTTCATATGGCGTTATGGCTAAGCTGACACCTGGGTCGTTTTCATTTATCCTGTTAAAAATGTCTGGATCATTTGGACCAGAGTTGTTCCTTTTTTTACTGGTAGAATTTCATCATAAAGCTAATGATTTTACTTGACAAAGACCTGTAGTGCTTGCTATCATTATCAGTAGCTAATCCTGATGCTGTGTTGCTAAAGAATTTAGTGAATGATTCAATATTCATTGATAAGTCAGTTATTACTTTTCTGTCAATTTTCGATTTCTGTTGGTGACTTCTACTGGATTTACCACCTTGTATTTCATTTAAAAAAACTCTTAACTAGTCTTTTTTCAATTATTGGAAACTGATTGCAGATTTGTTCCTGTGAAATGTTTAACCTGTTCACCTGTTTGGAATACAAAAGTAGGAGTGCCTACCCAAAGACACCATGTTGAAATTTCACAATTTCAAATACGTAAAGATTGTTACCAGAAACAGTACAATTCACACGAGACATTTTGTTTTTTTGAGTACTATTTAGCGTTTGTCTTACCTCCCTCCATTGACGGAGGTGTGTCACATAGAGGGGTTACCAGGTGCGAGTAAAGAGCAGTCTGGGTCAGCTAGGTGTTTGATTCAAGTGCAAAAACTGGTGTAAAAGAATTACTTACAAGGAGCCTGAGGCTCTAGCATATTGGAGTCATGACGACAATAATGAGACGGTGTATTAGTAATGGGTGGGGTCACAGAGTGCACTCCCATGCATTAATGTCCCCATCGGCTCAAAATCCCTGATATTGCATGTACCTCCATTACCAACTTATAATTCAAGCAGGCACACCGCTTGGTACTGTTGTGATGGTTGTATTGCATACATAAATTCAACATTTCTTCTATCGTTTCCAACTATTGATTTCATGAAGGCAATATTTGCGTTAGATTTTCGAAGGAAACATTTTTTGACGAAACATTTGTTTTGATATATACCTTATCATAGGGGTTTCCCAACTTGTCAGATTTCAAGATTTTCTTGTCTGGAGTAGAACTTCTTACTTGATAAAAATGGAGATTTTTAGGACCTTCTTTTCTAAGGTCAACGTTATAAATTAAGGTCAAATGTCAAATGATTTTTTGTTTTGCCTGGAACACAACTTCTTCATTACTAAACATGTCCTTATGACCAAGATGAAACAAGTCTCCCAAACATTCGTGCCATTTCTCATTATACCTACCATATGCACATCCTTGTGATATCAATTTATGGCATTTCAATAGAAAAGTACCCTGTTTATTTAGTTTCAAGATTTCCTGGTCCAAATCAGATGTTATCAAATGTTTTGTTCTTGAATTACAATCTAAATGGGATGAGTTTGAATTTGGAAGAAAATTGTGAGAATTTTGAGATTTGCAGAGAATATTTATAAAATTCAACGAGACCTGTCTTAGAGAAAGACAGTGAGAGCAAATTTAATATGATAGGTGGTCAGGTGGTACACTGGATAACATACTCACCTTTCACCAAGGCGGCAGGGGATATATTTCCCGATCGGATGTGAAACGGTATGAGTCGCAGGTTTTCTTCGGGTGCTCCAGTTTCCTCCCACATTCAGACGCTAACATCCAGGCCAACATGAGTGATTAATATAATTTGAATTTACTTGTTTCATAATTGTTGTAAAATAGGAAAAAAAGTATATCTATTATTATAGGTTGTCTTCATGAAAACTGTCTAGAAAAAATACCAAAGGGGAGAGCAAAACTGGTCTTAAAAGACAGATGGTTTTTAAATATGATAAAAAAATAAACTAATTGAAAGAGACTTTTTAAAAACTTGTGAAGATAAAAATCTCTTTAAGCATTTAGTTACGAGCATGCATGTATTTCATGTCCAAAGCTCATTACTTAATCATGGAAAGAAAAACACTGTTTCAAGCTAACCAAAAAAACGCTCTTCTGATGCTAATTGTTCATTAAGATCAATTAGAGAACATGAGGGGTTTAAGGATGTTAGTAAAGTAGTAACAAAATGATTAAACACCTGTAATATGCCGGCTTCAACTGCACCCTCATGCGTCTCCGTTTTATTAGAAAGACAACAGTTTTCCATGGCAAAATGGTGATCAGAGGCGCAAATTAACTAGCTACTAGATCAATTTTATCTCGTAAAGACACTATCTACACGAAACTTCAAATGGCAACATCACAGGATTTTTAAGGTTGTGGGTTTCTAGGAATCAATATAATTGTGAAATCTGGTTGTTAATTATCCATTGTTTGGTTAAATGCAGCTGTATAATTCGATTTCAGTCGGACTTAGTTGAAAAACACACTTGATTTAAAAGGAAATGTGTTGCGAAGCTCCTGTAGACACCCTGCATGGAGCATTTGCATAAAGACAAAGGGACAGCATGCTACAGTTGAAAACGCTGAATAAAACGTCATCATTGATTGTAAAAATTGGAGTCTGGTTCATTATCGAGCTTTTGATAACTCAACATTGTTATGTAACATTATTTGAGGTCATTCAACAGTTGCGTTTTAAATTGCAGTCTAAGTGCAGATATACATCCATTTTAAAATAGGTGCATTATGCATGCAACTGTACACTAAACATTAATTATGTTTCATTAGGATATAAAGTATTTTTTCTAGTTTACTGGGAAGATACAAATCTGCAGGCAAAGAAATGTCACAAACTCGAAAAAATGTTATACTTTTCATTTCAAAAATTGTTGAATTGAGATAATAATTATCAGGAACGTATTTGTGACATATTTCTTTAACTAAATCATCCTGGTATTTGTGTGTATAAGTAAATTCATCACCTACGTC